TAATAAATGTTCAAGAGGAATGCCACTGCCTATTTTTGAGCCAAACCTAATGATGGCCAGTACTGTTTTTTGACTTTGTCGGGCATAGGACATGATAATGTCTATAACAAAATCCAAAAAATATCGCTTTGGGCGTATATTAAAATATATTTCTTTTTAAATAACAAACGTGTTGCACATTATAGATGGCCAAGAGTATCCTTTCATAAAATGTTAAAATCAACAAATGAATAAATAAAATATCTATTTTTTCAAATAAGGACTATTCCTATGGATAAAACAAATTCTGAGAAACATCAGTGTTTCTTAGACAACATAACGATCAGTTCAATTTATACCAGCTCGGTCGGAGGGTTGTGTAAACGGAGTGACTAATGATTGAAACGTAAAAAAAAAACGTTCTGTCGATAAATTCTGATAGCGTAACAACCGTACAAACTGTGCAAATAAGTCGTATACGTGTACATGTTTAAATAAGATAGCGAGACCGTGTGGGTTGATGGTATTTCGTATGATAAGTTTTTTCTAAGTATAAATAACGTATTTTAGTAATAGAAATGGCGAATAGACAAATATTATCGTTTGGTATCCACGTCATAAGTCCTTCAAAGGTACATCGACCATGCGAGATATTAACTTCTTTAATAAATTTTATTGAAATTTTGTTCATTGTTTATTTATTAGGGGCGTCCGTTCGTCATCGAACCTATTAGTTTAATAAATCGATGAACCATATAAATCATAATTACTTTTCAAATTTCCATAGAAGTGGTTCCAGCGATATTACATTTCTTTCATGTGGAAATGAATCAGCACATTGTTAATTTCAGCAAATACAAGTTGATGACCGCCACCCTGTTGGATCGAAAATGCTCCAGATTCATGCAAATTATAGAACATAAAACATTCTTCTTGAACAATAAACGAACAAAAAAACCAGTCCAAATGACATGTTTACTTAGTAATTTGCAGATGTTTTGTATGATGAAGTTATAGAAAGGATTTTTATCAGTAGTATCGATTTCTGGAGAGAAAACTGCAATGAAAAAATCTCACACATTCAGAAAATATTAGTTTTAGAGTTGAAGTAGTAGTAAAGTTTTAATTTTATTAAAAACCAAATAAACATAATTTCGTCGATATATACCAACGACAGACACAAACAAATTCCTGGCTGCGGTCACGTGACGAATGAATCATTCTTTATCGCAAAAGTGCAGCGTAAGTGGCAATACTCGACAAGCTCTACGCGGAATCGCCATGTATTTGAATACGGGTGTTATTGCTAAGGTTGAATAGAGTTAATTGTGATTTTTTTTTAGGATCCATTGATGTTTTTATTTCGGATAAAATGAGCTGTCATTATTACAACAGTTTTGTAACCATAATATATGCCAACCGTTGCAATTTGTTTTTATTAAAATTAATTTCAAGAAGCAGGTGTTATATTTGACTCGCTTTTTTTTCATTGCACATTTTACAGCCGAAATCAGATTCCGGATTTATTATCAAGACGCGTTTACACATAAAAATTTTAATGCCAGGTATGTTTGTTGGTAATTTTTGTATTTCTTAAATAGTATATATGTACATATTATATTTTTAAAAAGTTTTTGTAGAAAAACTATATTCACTGTGGTCGTTTTACATACACAAATTAACATGGAACCCAAACCCGGAACAATTATTTGTGGGTCACATAAATACATCTATCATGTGAAAATTGAACCCTGATTCCTTATGATTATTATTATCCTTAATGAATAAATTAATTAACTAATTTCTCTAATTGGAGTTTGTGAGCACGAATTCAAATAATTAATTGCTCTAATTGGATTTTCTGCTTACCTATGACTATTAGTAATTTATTATCGTTCATATGGATGAGTAATAAAATCTCAATGAAAAATAATTACCTTAAGGCGCTGTATGCAGTAAAAATATGTTTTTCAAAAAATTTTTTAACAAAATCTATACATTTTATAGAAGCAAAAAATATATGTTAATCTTGATATTACATTCTAATGGACCATTGTTTTCAAAACATATTTTCGATAGAAAAAAATCACGAACCTACCCTTAAACGTGAAATTCAAATAAAAAAAATAAATATAATAAATGAACAAATCTTAATGAAATTAATATCAGTGGTGTAGAATATATTAATAAATAGGACTGTTTTCTTAATTTGTTGATTGAAGTAAGATATTTGTAAATATTAATTTAATTAATTAAAATTAATTCGAACGCGATGGCCAAAACACCGCACCACCGCGGCGTTGTTTCGGTTCTCTTCCAACTCCACACGTTGAACATAGAGCGCTGAGGTACCTTGCTAGATGGACCTATGCCGCTCATCGCCCGCTCACCGTTGCGAAATATGTTTCGTATTTTTAAATTGTTTATAGTGCAAATTTTTGCACTTAAGTTTGAACATTAAAATATGTAGAAAAAGTACGAAAAGATTGTCGCCGCTGTGGGAATCGAACCTATGTCTTCGGCATTCGCGGCCTGACGCTCTAGCCACTGAGCTAAATGGCTGATTGCCACACCGACGAAAATCTTAACGTCTTTTTCTTCATTGTTTCTTAGCAATTGAAGCAATGCTTGGCGCATCCATTGTTATATCCTTTCCAGCATACAAACAATTTCGAATATCGTTTTACAACGATAATTCGAACAAGAGATGTCGCCATTGCTTTTAGAAATTTTAAATTGTTTATAGTGCTAATTTTTGCACTTAAGTTTGAACATTAAGGTTTGAGCAAAAAATTTATGAGCCATTTCTTTAAAATCACAATATAAACCATATAACAAAAAATAATAATTATAAGTAATTTGCCTTTATTAATTTATTTGACTTTAAGATGTATTTTTTATCAATTCCTTTTCCATTTAATTAAAAAAATAATAATAAACAGGGAGAAGATTTTCTAAAATTGTTGATTGCTTTCTCATAATTTATATTTGTTTGTTTATTATTATTCCTATTATAATATAAAAGTAAAATACAATCATGGTCTATAAAAGATGTTATAGGGATCATCTGTGTACATTTTCGAAAGCCTTCCATGATACTATCGATAGTATCCTACGGCCCATCACTACACACACACTAGGTAATGAATGACTTGGTCTAGCGGCGCGTCGACGAAACTCGCGCGCTGCGCGCCGCTAAGCGGCGTTACCCCTCCTCCGCTTCCTCATACTTCACCACCCAAATAGTTAGAAATTCACTGCATACAACGCCTTAAGATAAACTTATTGCCCTCGACTCACGGACGTCATAATACTTTAAGCGGTGGCTGCTACAACTACAGAGACTACTAGAGAAATATGTCTGTGTTTTTTGCATACAGACATGGTCACACTAGCATAGTGAAAGCATAAAACGATCGCGTGGATCACTTTCTTTTCGCAAATCTTACCTAATCTTTCACCTGTTGCGTCAGTTGCCAATAGTGGGTGTACCGTTAGCTAAACTCCTAACTGGCTACAAATGTTTGAACAGCTCTTCAAGTCTTATACTTGCTGCTTCCGAGACAAAATGGATTTAAAGTTCTTAGAGTTAGACATTTGAACATTTACAGTCTTTCGCGTCTAGACTAATATTTAAACAAGCCAAAATATGAACATAGTTTCTTTCTTTCTTTTTCTATTGTAAATGTCATGACAGTTTTCAACCAATACAGTTTTCAGACGAACTTATAACATTATTCTCTGACATTAGTGTTTTTCCTAGTCAGGTGACAATAACAGACTTTTTGTTTGATTTGCTTAAAGAATTTTATATCGGCGATATCGTATGGACCGTCAACGGCCTGAGAAGAAGAAGAATTTTATTGCGTTGTAATTTTATATTATAAAATTATGACGGTTTTCTGTCATTGATGACTACCGTCACCTTTTGTTAAATTATTTTTAGTGCGATCTTACAGTGTGCTTAAATTAAATAGTTTAGCTTTACTAACAACTGACCGTGACTTGGTTTAAGAGGAATGAATTCACGTGTACGCCCTCATGTTTTTTCCTAATTTCGGTCCATTCAATCAGTCATTCCTTTAATTCCTTCTTTAATTCCAGCAGTTGAATGTTTTTCGTAAAATTTCGCACTCCAATTGTGTAAATCCAAAGATACTACTTATTTTACAAATTCCTGGACAAGTACACGCCTTCGACTTATAAATTATGTACTGACTTATGTTAGTGATCAAGAACTGAACTGAAGCCCATCAGGCACCTGATTTCTAATTTTGTGCATAAAAGTACATCTTAAAAATGTTGCACCCACCACCTTTTCTTTTGAAGTATCCCTTTCATGTAATCTGTGGATGAAAACGTTTCTGCAAAGATTTTATGTTCATCAAATAAACGGCCACAAACTTCAGACTTCTCCAAAGGTCTGTATCTCCTCGTCAGTTATGCATTCTGTTACTAACGTTTTAAGATCTTTTAGCTGGTCCTATATGGAAAAGATTACAGTCAAAACTTTGGACCAATATAAGCGATAAGATTCTCTAGAAAATCGATTAGTACTTATAATGAAAATGCAAACGAAACATTTCAATAAATCAAACACTGTACATATTTTATTTTACCACATTTGATATAAACCTTTCAATCGTATTCTTTGACGATGTATTCATAAAGCAGTTCTCATAAAGCAGTCTCTCTTGATTATATGACTTTGTTTCAACCAATTCAATCGTTCAGAAGCTATATAATTTTAAAGATAAACACAAATGCGTTCTCAATTATTTTACCGTCACGCTGTAGAGTAATATGTTTTTAATGTTTGAGGAGATAAGGATTCGTTATTAAATCATTCGTTTAGATTCTTTACATCAAATCAAAGTCTTTTATTTGTTAGGAAGTTACCCAAAAAATAGATTATGGAAGATTCGATCTGTTTCTGACGGAAACCAAAACTGCCTTCGAAACCATATTCAATATAATCTTGGTTCCCCGATGTACCGAAACCCCAAGTTCAGTATTAGAAAATGAGGTAAAAGTATGGTAACTACTTTATGCATTCATTTTTCATTTTTTAACTAATGAAGTTATGGCTTCCCCTGAGTAGGTTTACAATGTGTTTAATAAAAGTATTTTAACCACGAATCTAACAGATGAGATTTAATTAATTTTTTATTGCTTGTAGATTGAGAGAGATTGAAGACACACAAAAAATTTTCTCGAATCTACCTGAAGACACACAAAAAATTTCATTAAAATCGGTCCAGCCGTTTAGGAGTAGTTGAGTGACATACACACGTACATAATATATATATATATATATATATAAAGATAGTACCTATATAGTTTACCATATTTGACGTTTGTTGTAATAGGTACAGACTTGACGACTTTGTTTTATTTGAGTGTTAATAACGTATTTCAATAGTGAGCTTAATACTCCCAACCTATGACAGGAGAAACTAATCGATTGTTCGATTAGTTTTCGATTTTTATTCTATTTGTGCAGCAACAAATGTGGGCCGTCAAGGGAAACCTTTCAATGATATCCCTTTCGTCTGCAGATCAGTAGAGCGGTACGTGCGAGTGAAGTGGAAAGATGTTCGGGTCGGTGATCTGGTGCACCTCTCGAACAACGAAGCGGTTCCCGCGGACATGGTGCTGCTGCACTCCTCGAACCCGATGGGCGTGTGTTACCTGGACACCTGTAACCTGGATGGCGAGACCAACCTCAAGCAACGTATAGTTGCGCCAGGTTTCAGAGAAAAGGTATGTATATATCATGTTAATAAAGCTTTTTAATAACAATATGCTATGGAACGGAAAGGATGGTTACGAAAACTTTTAATATGTATGTTTCTTTTTTCGATGTTCCATGTTTCTGAACCAAAAAAAACTTTATGGAATAAACTAGAAGTCTGAGTTTGTTCAATTGGTATTAAATTCTTAAGATATCATTTAAACAAGCCTCGAATGGCTGGGGCCAAGGAAATATTCAATATGATACATAATATATGATAGCTTCTTTCTCACGCGTCTTTTGTAAGGATGTACTGTATTTCTGAATGAGTCTAATCTACCAGATATAAAATTGTGAATGTGGGCCACTGTGGTGATGATTATAACAATAAAGTTCAAAGTTCGCATCTAACTGTATTTAAGCACAGAATGTTAAATAACTTCAAATAAATGGAAATCATGCCTATGGGAACTGTGTGCCTATCTTCGCCGGTACCGTGAAGTATGACCGTAAAATTATCTATTGTCCAACATGTAGTTCATAGACTAGATATTCATTCAACTGTGAATGTAAAATTTGTTGTTTTCAAATACAATCTCTTTGTTCGATCTATTTTAAACATTTAACTATTACATAACATAATCTATAACTTTGTGCATTACAAACTAAAACAAACAAATTTTACTTTAGCATGCCAACGTTATAGTAAAGAAAATCGATAAGTAAACAGAAAGCGTCAAATGAGTGACTACTTACTTTGACTCTATGAATTGTATTTACACTAATGACTCTGATAAATTTATATTTTTCTTTATAAAGTTTTTTTTCTTAATCTCGACTGTAATTTATTTCCAGCATAAAGACTATTGTCCTCTTAAATTCAGAAGCACTGTTGAAGTGGAGCGACCGTCGACCAAAATATACAGATTCACAGGAACAATTTCACACCCAAACGGAGGTAGAGTTCCACTTAACTCCGAGAACTTGTTGCTGAGGGAGTGCACTATCAAAAACACAGATTATGTAGAAGGCATTGTCGTGTACGCAGGTCATGAGACCAAAGCAATGTTGAATAATGGCGGGCCGAGATATAAATGCTCGAAACTTGAACGAAAGATGAACACAGACGTGATATGGTGCGTCCTGGTGTTGCTGTTCTTATGCTGCGCCGGCGCTGTTGGCTGCAAGGTCTGGTACGACCAGTACAGCCCGCTCCTCTACAAAGTGACGCCTTTCATCACGTACGCGGACAAACCGGCCTACGAGGGCCTCTTAACGTTTTGGACCTACATTATAGTGCTTCAAGTAATGATACCGGTGTCACTCTACGTGACGATCGAGATGACCAAACTGCTGCAAGTGTATCACATCCACCAGGACGTCGAAATGTACGACCCCGTGACGAACACCCGAACCGAATGCCGTGCGCTGAACATCACCGAGGAGTTGGGCCAAATCAATTATCTGTTCAGTGACAAGACGGGGACGCTGACGGAGAACAAAATGGTGTTCAGGCGTTGCACGGTTAACGGAGTGGACTACGATCATCCCCCGGGTCCGCCCGCCGAGCCCAACCCCGAACTGCCCCCCATTGTCACCCCCCTAACCAAAGTCTCGCCCAACCGTCGTTTGCTCCAGCACATTCTCGACAACAACGACGCGCAGCATACACAGAAGGTGAGTTTTCGATAACATGATTCTTTTTAGATTATATAATTGCATAGATTTTATTCATATCAAAACTTTTGCGGTAGCTTCAGCGTCCTAGCTGTCGCTACTAGATATATGTATATACGCACCGATCGATTGACAAATCCACCTAGGAAGATGACAGAAACTTTTTTTAACAAAATTTTCACATTTTAGTAATTTCGTATCTACTCACTGCGAAAATGTGTGAATAACGCCCGGTTTCTGAAACACTGATCAACGTTGACAGCAGATTAGTTAACTTCTACGATGATCAATATTTCAGAAAGAGGGTGTAAGCACAATATATTTCTAACTTAGACCGTACTGTAAAATAATTGTACTTTTACTCTTACTCTCGCAAAATTTAGATCTTACCCTGGGCACTCGTGACCTTAACTACGACATTGGATTTCAAAGTAACTGGAGCGACACAAATAGCAATCTCACTGGACTAGCCCGTGTCAAACATTTTGTGATGACCAGCCGTTATCGATAATAAAAAATTGAAATAGACATAGGTACCTAAAATCTGTTAGTTTTTTTTTTTTTTTTACATAACTGATGTTACGCTTTCAGTCCTTAGACTAAAAGCTTCATCGAATGTAGAACCGGTGGGCCAGCCAGAACCCACAGGTTTGAAACCCTCCTTAGTGGTTATGGCCGCGCATATACTCATGCGTGCGTTAGTTACAACCAACACAACGCGTTTACTAGGTGTACTTAGTGTACGCGTTGTGTTGGTTGGTTGTACGCTTTGAGCACGGCGAAACTAGGTACCCCTAATGTACGCGTACGTCGTCCTTGCCGTGCTCAAAGGCGAGGACGAACTATGGTGTTTGTTGATGCACTAACTGTGTTGGTTTGTTTGGGGAGACTCCCAACGGTGCGTTGGTAATATCTATCATAGTAATAGCTTTTTATGTCACTCAGGTGCGAGAGTTCCTCTTGATGCTTGCCGTGTGCAACACGGTGGTTGTCAGCCAGCCGCACGTTGACGAGATGCAGCTGAGCGGCTCCCAGTCTGGGGGTCAATTCCCGTCCGACAAACCGGCGCGCTCCAATGGCACGCTTCGATCTAACGACAAGTGAGGACTAGTCCTGTTTCAGCATGCCTAAAGCTTTCGGTAACACCCGTAAAGGTTGCAGATGCGATGCCTCAATGTCCATGGGCGACGGTTATCACTTAACATCAGGTGAACCGTCAGTTCGTTTGCCACTTTGTCAAATAAAAAATACATTGGCAAAGAAATTGTTTTTTTTTTTTTTTCATTTTGTTTTAAATAACCTTTTCCTGTACCTGCTACATGTTTTACACGCACAGACTTCACATTGAAAAATACCCAGATCAGGTTTTGTGATAATAGTTAACTTACATTAAAGTATAAAGTAAGAGATAAATTTAAAGATTATTTTAACGATAATTACGCGAGTGTAGCCATGTGCAATGTCTAATTGTTGTATGGGCAAATAAAAAAGTTTATTTCATTAAACACTGCCGGCCGAAACTATGAGACCACCCTAATAAAGTGGGAAAATTTAAAAAAATATTATAGGATAATTGTTTAATTATGAAATTAATCAATTAAAACAAAAAATTCAAATACATAAACGCATTTGACAGTAATTTCTTTTACATATATTTCAATGTATTGACTACAAAACGTGCACAGATACGCCCGCCTAACGGAATCCAGATCGACCACGCCCTCACCGCCGCCTTCGACCACGTCGCCGCTGCGAATCCGCTTGCCGAGGTTTCCCTTCGGCAGCCGCGACGACACCAACAGCGAGCCGAGCACTTCGGCCGAGTCACAGGCAAGTGGAAGAAGCGTATGTTCAGCAGTGGACTCAAACGGGCTGAAACGATGATGATGAAGGGGAGACTACAATAGATCTTCTCTTACTAGGCCAATGGCCGTTAGTTACATAGCTTCGTTACTTTCATAACGACTTGTAGATTAAAGGAACGCTAGTAACTCACTTTCCGTAGGTAATACAAGAGCTCGTAAGGAAAACGCCTCCCTGTAGGAACGGGGCGTACACGCCTTCTATCTACAAGTCAAACGTTATGAAAGTTAGGAAGCTTGAAATGTAAGTAAAGGCCGTTCTTTGAATATAGGAACCGGGCATTAGTCGCTGTGGTGGTTAGGACTTACTACAAAACACCTTCCACAAACAATACAAATACAATATAAACACAATACAAATAAAATGCAGTACAAATAGAATATGCGATTCGCAGTTGGCCCGTTTCGAGGCCGAGAGCCCCGATGAGTTGGCGCTGGCCGAGGCCGCCCTGGCGTACGGCTACGAGCTGAGGAGCCGCTCGCCCGACGAGGTGGAGGTGGGCGTCCGGGGCGAGGTGGCGCGCTACAAGGTGCTGCGCGTCCAGCAGTTCGACTCCAACCGCAAGTGCATGTCCGTGGCGATGCGCATGCCGACCGGCCAGGTGGGCTTTCCTATTTGACGTGACAAGCTAACAAGTTTTTTTGGGGTTTTTACTGCGCTATGGCCACGCAGCGGTCTTCGCTGTTGTACTAATGGGCGGGTCCGTCCGGGGTAATACGAGGATCTCACAGAAGACCGGCGTGAAGTGTTACACTTCTGCGTTTCGTCTGATGAGTGAGGTAACCGAGGCCTACTTTATTAAGTGGCAACGCATCTGCTACCCTACGGGTGTTGCAAATGTCCATGAGCGGCAGTTATCATAATTAAGTTAGTATTTGTGAAAGAAAGAATCAAGGTTTCATTCATTCATTCTTCGTTGATTACTTCGATTTAAAAAGTAACGTAATTACGTTTTTCAACAGCAAAATATTGCCAACAAATATTGACACCTGGATTAAAATTAGTATAAACAACTTACCTAATAATCCTTTCCACTAATAGTTAGTTTATAGATCACTTTGGCTTGTGCGAACAAATAATAATACTAAACATATTATGTGTTTCGAATCGGCAGGTGGTGCTGTACGTGAAGGGGGCGGACACGACCGTGTTCGGGGCGTTGACCCCGATGCGCTCCGGCAGCGCCGAGGCGGCCGCCTACGAGCGCACCCGCTCGCTCATATCGGAGTACTCGCGCGCGGGTCTGCGCACGCTGGTCATGGCCAAGCGGACGATGCAGCCTGCCCTCTGGGAGGAGTGGCTCGCCGGACACGCGCGCGCCTCCGAGATAGGCGACGGTCCGTATTAATAGTAAAAAAAAAATATATACCGTATAATATTATAATATTGAGGGAAATAAAATTACAAAAAAGAGGATACCCACGGAGTTTCGTTCGCCATTAGAGGAACGTCATTACGAATCGATGGTAGATTTAATAAAAATGACTATCGATAGATGAAATATATATATAATTTGATTTGATATCTATTACGGAATATTCTGTAAGATCAGGGTAAGCAGGAGTTTGGCCTCCATAGCTCAGCACCTGCCCCTTTTTGTCGTCTTTTTTTTATTTATTTTTCCTTTTATGTAAAAAGTTGTCATGCGAACAGACCCGACAGAAGTTTCACTTCAAAAAAAGATTAAACAAGAAGTGTGTAGAACAATTTCACGTAGCAATAGTGACCCTCTCTGAAATTATTTACGGACCGTATAAACAAGTGCGCGCCGGCTGTTCAAAAGGCCGTATGAGAAACAAGTCGTCCGTCGACCAGGTCGCGAGAGACGCATCCGCGAGTCGCTCGCGCGGCTGGAGAGCGCTCTGACGCTGGTCGGTGCGACGGGCGTCGAGGACCGGCTGCAGGAGGCGGTGCCGCGCACCGTCCGCGCGCTGCTCGACGCGGGCATCGTGGTGTGGGTGCTCACCGGCGACAAGCCCGAGACTGCCATCAACATCGCCTACTCGGCCGCGCTCTTCTCGCAGGGCGACCGGCTGCTGCACCTCATGTCGCGCGACAAGGCGAGTGACACCCCCCCCCCCCCCCTCCTCACCCCTTCCGCATCACCCCGTCCGTCCCGCATGGATGCTTTCTTCCTAAATTTAGGTAGAAAATAATTACAATGTTTTTAGGAAGCAAGTTGAAACCAAACCTTCCTAAATGTTTCATATTCGGGAAGTATTGGTTTGAATTTCGTGACTTTTAGGTTTTTATATTGCTTTAGGAGTATTTTATTGAACAGTTGGTAACACTGCCGTTTCGCTTCTACCGCTCGCTTGGGTTATAGTGATTGAACCAGTTTGTTGATCACTAGAGTGCACGGGATTTCTCAAAACGTGTACCTAAAGCTTACACTATGACATGACTTTCACTAGCCTTCTCTAAAGAAGTGTTAGAGAATTCGCAGATTTGTCTGGTAGGACGCTTTATCGCGACTGCGGGAAGCCATCGGCTATATGAATATGAATATACGTATACCTTTTTTTTGTTTATCTGTATCTATTTATTCAGTCTTTGTTGCGTTACCTACGAAATCGAACACCACAAAAGGCGGACAAAATCGAAACCTATAATGCGGTGAGATCCTTGGGCAGGTTCCTTAACTCGAAAATGAATACATCCAGAGCGATGTGACAATAGAACAAGAGCGTGTGGGTGCAATTGCAGGAGCACGCGGAGTCGACGATCAAGAGCTACCTGGAGGGGGGCGCGGTGGAGGGCGCGGGCGGCAGGGCGCTGGTGGTGGACGGGCGCACGCTCACCTACATCCTGGACCGGCGCTCGGGGCTCGTGGCGCCCTTCCTCTCGCTCGCGCGCCGCTGCTCCGCCGTGCTCTGCTGCCGCGCCACGCCGCTCCAGAAGGCCTACATCGTCAAGGTGCCTTCGCTGTTACACATAGTTTTTTTTTTTTTAATTTATTAATCACATAAAATATACAAAGAATATGCTTACATAGCTATTCTCGCCAAACTTTTACGTTTGATGGCGAGACACGATGGCGTTTCAATGTCTTGGGATTTCTCCGTACGGACATCACTACGTCACTACATAGTATAAAACAAAGTCGTCCCGCTGTCTGTCTGTGCCTATGTATGCTTAGATCTTTAAAACTACGGAACGAATCTTGAGGCGGTTTTTTTTTTTTACTAGATATGACTATTTTATAGAAATGTTTAGATCCGTCCGGGTAAGTACTACCTCACAGAAGACCGGCGAGATTTGGAATTTTTATACTTTTGCGTTTTGTTAGATGAGTGAGGTAGCCAGGGCCCACTTTATTTAATAGGTGGCAACGCATCTGCAACACTACGGATTTTGCAAATGTGAACCGCCTGCTCGCTTACCACCTTCTCACATAATTACAGAAAAACTGCATAACTCTCAAGCTTGTTTCAAGTCCAAGCTAAGTATACTATTGAGAAAACGAGCGTATTTTCAACGTAGTACAGAATTCATTCATAAATGTAAGCCTTTAAATTGAATCAATCGTAAATGTAAGCTGTTACTGGTCGCACTCTCGCTGTTTCTCTAATGCTGGCTAGGAAAACATTTTCCATCTCTACGTCTATGACTTGACAATTGAAGACCGGTTTCAAAGTCACGAGTTAAAGTTCTATCATTAATGTTTTTTTTTATTCTTCCCACAGGCGGTGAAAGAAGAGTTGGGTGTGACGACGTTAGCGATCGGGGACGGCGCTAACGATGTCTCAATGATACAAACGGCCGATGTTGGAGTCGGTACGTTTGGTTATATTTTTTCATTGAAATTTTAATCTTCTCTATTTTACCATATTTATAATGGCAACCACTCTTAAATCAACATTTGTATAAGACGAACCGTTTATAAGAAGTCCAAAATCATAAAATAACAAATAGCTTTAATAATAGATTTTTCGTCGAATTTTAAGTGTCGGTGTCTTTATTTCATTTCATAGTCAAGTAAAACTGTAAGTTTAGATGATGATCGTATAAGCATAAAATTAAATAAATGTACTGTTTTTCCCCAATCAGAAAATTCAACATATCATATGTCCAAAATAATCTTTCTAGTATCTGGATGTATCTATTATTATTTATTTACAAAAGAAAATTACGTTTAAGCTTGTTTATCAGCTACCAAAATTACCCTAAATTACATCTACAATATGCTATGGAGTTAAGTGGTTAAATTAGCATTTTTCATTACTGATGAAAAAATATTGTTATGTTGGTTTTCAGGAAAAATGTTGGTTTTTTCAACGTGATTTTTAATATTTCTTTGTCGATTATAACATACTTTTGTTCCAATCCGCAGGACTATCTGGGCAAGAAGGTAGACAGGCAGTAATGGCTTCAGACTTTGCCTTGTCGAGGTTCAAATTCATCGAGAGGCTGCTATTAGTCCACGGACACTGGTGCTACGACCGTCTCGCGCGCATGATACTTTATTTCTTCCTTAAAAATGCAGTAAGTTCCGTATTTCGACTGTAGATTTTTAAAACATGCTCCGATTTTCAGTCTTGCTACCAGTTATTAATGAATAATTATTATCTGCTCTATTAATACTCAACTACATATAAACTGGTTCAATCTGAAGATATTGATAGGAGATACAACGGAAAGATTTTAAATATTTTTAATTAACTCTAATTTAAAATACTTATATTGCTCATTGTTTCCCTTTAAGGATACGAAACATGTTTTTTAATAACCAAATAAGCTTGAATTCTTACTGAAATGTTAAAAGTATTATTTAATTACCATGTTTGTCTTATCCTGCCCAAATAAGTACATACCTGTATTAGTTATTGTGCCGTATATATTTGTGTTATTACAGACGTGTTATTTACATTTATTGATATTGTTATATTAATTTCCTTCCAGACATTCGTGTTCCTTGTCTTCTGGTATCAGATGTACTGCGGCTTCTCTTCTATGGTGATGATCGACCAGCTGCATTTGATGGCCTACAATCTTATGTTCACTGCTTTTCCACCTATCGTTATCGGTATGTTTTATATTTATTTCTTATTGCTATTATTTTTAGTCTTCGGCAGTGAACACACTATCTCCTTGGAAATCTGATCACAGTTCAAGTGATTTTGTAACATGCTGGAAATGCATCGAAAAATTGTTCCATTCTAAAATTAGGAACGTTGATAGCGCGCTATGCGGCGAGCCGTGGAAGGCCTGAGTCCACCGATGATGATAAAGACGACAATGAGGATGACGATGACAATCGACGTGATGATGATAATAACGATGATGATGATACCTGGGTGATGGTATATACGCGCGTGCGACCATGCTCAAAACAGCATAGCAACTGTGCGCATATGACCGAAGAGCCTATGGGAGCAACTCGTGGGAGGCCTAAATACGTCCACCGATGATGATAATGACGAAAATGAAAATGATGACGATTATAATGAGCGGGGTGATGGTAATTATGATGACCATGGTGATCTTAATAACGACGATGATGACGATGATGAGCCGGGGGGTGGTCTTTAGCGGCATGAGATCGTGCGCAGGATTGCGCGAAACAATGCTTATGATAATGACGACGTCGTTGATGGTGATGATGATAATGAAGATGATGATGATGATGACGGTCCGCAGGGGCGTACGACCGCACGGCGCCGGCGTCGCTGCTGTCGGAGCGGCCGGGGCTGTACGGCGCGGCGCGTCGCGGCCTCGCGTACCGGCCGCACTCGTACTGGGCGGTGCTCGCCGAGTCGGTCTACATCAGCGTGGTGATCTTCTTCTCGGCGGCGAGCGCGTACTGGGACACGGACGTGGACATATGGCTCTTCGGCCTCTGCAACATGACGTGCTGCCTCGTCGTCATGCTGGTGTACGTCGCGATCGAGACGCGCAGCTGGGTAAGTTGCACGCACGCACACGCACGCACGCACACGCACGCAGGCGAGACGCGTACGATTACAACATATACAAACGCATAATACCCACTACACTTTACCATTGTATAGGTAGTATTGATGGCTACGTTGCGCACTTGTCAAGGTATTGGCTTCGGTGCCGGGAGCAGTGGGTTCGATTCCGACACGGGACGACTACTTGTGTGACCCACTCGGATCTGGGTGTTTGTCCACATGAAATTTATTCGTAAAACAACAACACGGGATTATGTTATGTGAAGTTTTTATTGCGCAAGGACGTTTAATAGCGGCGACGATATTCCCAGTTTGATACGACAAAGGGACCGTTAAAACGAGCTTTCGTTTTTCCGAATGGTCGGTGACTCATCTGCAACTACTCTAGTGTTGCTAATTGATGTCCACGGGTCGTCGTGATCACTAATCGTCTGATGCCCGGTTGCTATATTCAACGAACGGCTATTAGTTACATAGCTTCATAACTTTCGTAATGACTTGTAATATAAAAGGCGTGGACGCCCGGTTCCTATAATTAACAAAACGAAGTGTTTTCCTTACGGGCCGTTGCATTACCTACGGATAGTGAGTTACTAGCATTCCTTTAATCTACAAGTCTAATGTAACTAACGGCCGTTCGTTGGATATGGGAACCGAACATGAGTCGATTGCTCGAGTGCCAGGCGTTAATCAAGCAATGGTTAGTTGGTTATCAGAGAAAAACAAAGTTTACATACGCGTCGTCACGTAAAAAGCAGGCAAATAAAAAGATACTCAATTTAAGTGATATCCTGCTCATTGTGTAATAGATATTTTTTTATTGTCGCTGTTTCGTATCTTTAACAGTAAACAATTCTGAAAATATTTTTTAACCAACAACTTATGTTAAATTACATGCAGCTTTTCTATAAGAAACTTGTAAGTGGCAGCACTAGTGTACGAGTGAAGTGTGGCATAGACACGTAACAAGAACACCGCATACATTAGTCGAAATACGCTGATGGTATTTACGTTCATGCTTCTCCAAAGAAAAATGGGTTTAATATTGATTTTACTGTAATAATAGTTAACATCATAACAAAATGCCGTTTATTCAAAATAAATTCCATATTTTATAATGAAACATACTATAAATAAAAAAATAATTTATTGAAGTATTGTTCATTATTTGGCCTTTTACTATTTTAATGAATGTACATAAATGATGGGCCAGGTATTAGCTAACTTCTAAATCTTTTACAAGGTTTTATTGGATTTAGAATTTGAAAACAACTCCTGTAAAAATGAGGCATTTTACTTTTAGTATTCTATCGTGTAATACCTCTTTGCTATTCTACCATAGTTAAAAATCACTGAAAAAGTAAATAACTAGATAGTATTTTGATTAATGTATGTTATATTCGTAACAACTTCACTAGACTGTGGGCAATGTTTTAATACTAGTCTATGAAGCACATGTTTTCTTACTACGGAACCGTTTTGTTGTGTGATTGTTTGTTTACTTTCCAACGTGATGCACAAGAAAGCACTGCTATATTTTCTGTTAATCTAAATTTATAATCTTCTTCGCAGTTCGCTAACCTCAGTTTATCATCAGCCCATTTATGTTCCATACCGTATCGGTTATATGACGGAGCGGTGCCAATTTCGCAGACTGTCATCCATCTGCTGGCGCTGACCGGGTCTTTGGGGTCGTTCTTCGTGCTCACGCTGATGTATCAGTCCGTGTGCGTGTCGTGCTTCAATCTGCCGTCGACCTACCACGTGATGCATCACGCGCTGATCGATCCGATATACTGGCTGGTCGTCGTCCTCACCACGGTAGCCGCGCTCGCGCCAAGGTTCGTATGCGCTCGATTGGAATGATCGGGAATAAAGCGTGACTAAAAAAAGCCAGTTGAATAGATTACTTGTCGAATGTCTGTTGTTCACCCAGAAGAAGCGGATTCTGATCCTAGCGACGCCGTAAATTTTCAAATAGTTCATCTGTTAAATGTATATTTAAATATCATCTGGAGTGCAGAATAGCTGTGAAACTATAAATATAACAACTATAAACTGTACACCGATATTTTAGCAGAAAGCTATTTAGACACGGACGAATGACCTTTTCGCTCACATCACAGTTCAAATGGTTTCCCATACGGGCTGTACACAACTTAAAAGAGGGCGGAGCCTGCCTCACCTGAAGGAGAGAAAGTTGCCCGAGGAAGGGCTGCTAAAGCGGCCAGCCTCAGCGTCGCAGAAGTGTGCGATAGACTTCCTGTGGCCCTGTCGATACGCGCCCTAGATGGAACACCGTGCGAGTCCGACATAATCCGTCCTTGCCCCCGCGAGGGCGGGTATGCGTAGGCATTTCCCCCACGCCAACAAAATAAAGGCTGGTCATTGCGCTACACCTATGACGTAGTTCAGTTCGATCTGTCGCGGTTGCAGGCTGGCTTGGCACGCGGTGCGCAACACAGTGCGCCCGGGCGCGTTGGGGCGCGCGGTGCTGGCGCGTCGCCGCAGGCCGCGCGCTCGCCTGCCCTACGCCGCTCAGTACCACACCACTACGGCTTCCGCTCACGTCTACAGGTTAACGAGCCAACTCCTTAACCTAACCCCACACAAACATGCATACACATGCACTAGCTCACGTACGCAGTCACTCATACACGCATACGCTCATGTACGCAACCACACACACTATTATGTGTACACACGCGCATTATCATTCCAACAACCCACAAACGCACGTGTGCCTACCGATATGAAGGTACATAATTTAAATAGTTTGTAACCAGCTATGGCTATGGCACCTTAATGTTTTTATGCTCACCCTTGTCCGTACAGACCTTAATAATGAATTATGAAACATTGCAGGTCAACTGACGAGGACGGTCTTCAAAAGACGCATTCCGACGTTGCCGCCATTACGTGACGTCAGTGAGAAAAGGGCCCGGCCGCGCTTATAGCGTTGTGCCGTGCTTCAGAGGTAAAGGAGCTGCTTACCTCGTCACATTTAAATGAACCTAGGCTGTGATCTGTCATTAGAACTATTTTTAATATAATAATAGAGTAATATATTGTGCTTTTATATAACGATAAAGCGGGACCAATGCGTCAGTTGTGTACGGACGGAGTCAAGACAGACCGCGCTCTGGGCGAGCCAAATCCATCGGACTAGTGTATTAATAATAATATAATTTTCATTGAGTAAATAATAAGCTCTTTGTTTATGTTGTGAACAATATGATGAGAATTTATCACATTAAGTTAACCTATCTAGTCTGTATAGTTTACCTAAAATGGGGCGCTCAAACGCGCACGGAGTGTTCTGATAGATCTGCCAATAATATTCATATGAATAATTTTATTAATTTAGTGTTAAAATTTCATTCAGTATTGTACTATTCAACGCTTTGGATCTACCACAACACTATTGTGTAAATTATTACTGAATTGATTTTGTACTTACGTAATCACTTATGGAAGGACTAACCGTGCTAAAAATCTATTTTAACGCCAGATGGTATACGATGCAACTTGTCTAGCAGTTACTCGTTCCCTAATAAATATAGGTCAGTATTATACGGATCGGAAGGACCAAACTTCTAATCAAAACTTCACCACAATCATTCGGGTGGTCATCACTAAACAGTCTAGACTTTGAATTTTTCTTTCGTTTCTTTCGAGTTTCTATTGACTTGGAACTTTGGCTTTATTTAGTTCATGAATAAATATGATTTGGAGAGATGGCAACGATAATAGATGATTAAAAAATCATGTATTTTTATACTGTGGTGGAACAGCTGTCGCGTGTAACGCTTTCCACGTTGTTCTCTAACAAGCCTGCTGCCTTGCCCGAGACTGGACAAAGATTTCAGGTATCATTGTGGACTCAGGGGCAAGAAATACACTGATTCAATTATCATTCTTAACGAATGATCGTCCATTGTAATTTTTTAAACTTATTGATAGATTAATAATGGTGGCTCGAGACCAAAGAGGCCATCTAAAAATGAGTTTCAGCCGCATTATTTATTTAAAAAAATGTTTATTTATTCATGGGTACCTCTAACCAAGAAAAAAAATTGTAATGGTAGTGTGCAAAAAATTCAAGTTCATACATGAGTTAATTTAATATCTATGTATGTAAATAGCGCCTATTTTTTTATTTTATATATAACATTTACCTACTTGAAACTGGGTAAGATTTGGACATTTTAATTTACCATAACCCTTTGTGGCCAAAATATAATCATGATATTTATTATCTTGGGGTCCCTCCTAAAATTCCCATGTTGAGGTTGACATTCTTAATGGATTCTCTTGCTCTACCATATCTCTGTGTAGAAGTCTATTCTGTTTAATGTGAAATTGTAAAACTTGTTCCAAATATTATCAGTTGTTGATTGTTCTCACTCATTCTTCATATTATTAATTAACCATTAAAATTATAACAATTAGAAGTGTTATTGTATAATATTAACGAATCCATTTTTTTTTTATGCGAAAAGTTGCCAAACGAGCAGACGGTTCACCTGATGGTAAGTGAATACCGCCGCCCATGGACATCTGATACACCCGAGGGTTACAGATGCGTTGACAACCTTTTGAAAATTGGGCTCCGGCTACCTCACTCACCAGACGAAACGCGAAAGTATTTGTCATACTTTAACTTTACGTTGGTCTTCTGTGAGGTCGTGGTACTTACCAGGACGGGCCAGCCCATTCGTGCAACAGCCGAGGCTGCTGCGTGGCCCTACCACCGCAAAACTGTATTTTAAATTTAGTTATTTTAAACGAATTGTATTAAAAACACAAATTTTGCTTGTTCATATTTATTTAAAAGTCAAAAATAAGTTCATAACATCCTTATGTCAAAAAGTGCCTTGCCGTATTTTACCAATATTTATTATAGTGTATTTCTTGCCTTTCACTGCCTTTCATGACTAGATGATTCCTAAATAAATACTATTTTTAATACTAGTTATTGTACATATGACAAATTATATATATATTTCTACATGGGCGATTAATTGTTACATGTAAAAGTAGTAGGATATTTTTATATAAATAAATCTTTGTGTAAATAACTTGTATGTACTAAGACTGTTGTTTATTTTAGAGCCTTTAATTTGTTCAGTTAAACTAATAGGATATTGTGATAAAAATATGTATTTTCCAGTCATTTAGTTGCCGCAGTGGTAACTTTTTTATGGATTAATGCAGAATGTCACAGAATCACAATTTTCTTGCCATACAATTTGGTATTTATCTACGGTAGCAAATATTCAAAATTTTTGAGTCATTGAGGTAGAATTTGTTGTTTTTATAGTATATGTATCCTACAATCTTTTACAAGCAAGTATTTTGAAAGATTATTTTTGTTTGTACCGTGTTTTATTGACTAAGCCGTATTATATATATAATAAGTATTTAAATTTTAAACTAGTCTGTTGTCATCGAAAATAAGGTTTCGGAGAGGTTTTTTTTATTGTTATTGTATTTTTCAAAGATCTTCCAATACATGTATTGCAATTATTTGTTTGTTATCAGAATTATATACTATTTGTTTACCCACTAAATTTTATGTATGCTACATGAATGTGAAATAACCACCTAAAATTATAAAGAAGATATATTATAAAGAAATTACAAAGAAGTCTTTGCTTAACCTTTCAGAGTTGGACTTGTATTATTCTGTTGTAATTTGAGCCCTTTATAGTTATTTTAACAACTACTTATTCTGATGTACATTTTATACATTGTAACAGAAAATGCATTTATATTGTGATAACATTCAAACTAAAAGATATTGCTTGAAGTTTTATCAATTTAAAAACGCAGCACCATAGTAATGACTAGAAAATACATTTATATCAGTATGTGTTGTTTTATAATAATAACAAAATGTTTAATTTCATTTCACTTGTTTTATTTATATCTGATGAGTCTTTGGGGTTAAAAACGAATAGTTTTCTTTAAAATTTTAGCTTTTCAAAAATTTTTCATTAAATATTTGCCTCAACTGATATAAGAAATCATATATCATTTGTCTTTCTTCTTGTACATACAAATAACTTGTATAAATTAAAGAAAAAGCTATGAGCTAAGCTTATGAAGGTCAACATAAGATGCTAATAAGCACCTTTTTGAACTTATTTATAAAACCAGTACTTATAGTAAGGTCTAAAACATTGAACATTTTCAAAAATCCTCCAATAACCTTTAAGGGCCTATGACATGTTTAATTTATTTAAATTATTAATGAGTTTTCTGACTTAAACTATGCACTATTTTGATAATATAAATACTACTCAAAGCATACTATAATGCTTAAGAGATTAACTTAATTCTCTTTAACTTGCGTGCATACTCTACGGTGATTGATGTTATGCGAGTTGTAAGCATGTAAATCGCAATAATGGGAAACATTTGTGAACTATATATTATATTAAGGCCCTTAGCGATACCAAAACTAAAAAAAAAAATATATATTATATAGCAACCAAATTTTAATGCTATAATTTAATGCTATCCAATTTAAATGCTATATATATATATATATATATATATGGAACCATCAAGTTGCGTAATTTAAGACCATTAAGGATCACAACATATTCATATGGAATGCTAATGATTAATAGAAAAGCTTTAGAACCCTTCTATCCATGAACATCCAATGAATAAAATGCAAGTAATATTAGTTTACAAATTACAATTATAAACCTAATCACAGCACTCTTTTCAATATAGCATTGGCTGCATCCATTGTGGAATCATTGACCAATACTATATCAAATTTGTTGAGGTAGTTTTCAAGGTTGGGACCGGCATTTCGACCTAAAAACCCTATTTTTATGATGACATCGCAGTGTTCCATTCCTTCCGCCATGCCTGCATCCCCAATATTATCACCCATAAGCAGCACGTTATGACGCTCCTTTACCATTTCATAGTACTCTGTACCCTTTATTGCGGTCTCATTCTTGTTGTATGTATGTATTACATCGCCTTTTATACCAACTATAGTGTCCGTTTCATCAATTGCGAGGAAGTTTGATACAACCTGCAATCATAAACATTAAATGAAAAAATCAATTAAGAAAATAATAATTAACAATGTCTTTAGGAAAGATTTAGAGATATGTATATGTACTCTTGGTTAACGAAAATTAAACTATGTAACTTAAAGAAGTACTCGGTAGAATAGGTTGGGAAGAAATCGTTCAAATTTATTTTCTGTTCAATTTTTTATTTTATAATTGCAACACATGACTTTATTGTGTTACAAACAGTTGAATAAATTTCGTGAGGAAAATCTTTTTAGTACCTTAACATTTGGAAGCAAAAAATTAGCAGCTTTTAATGCAGCAACAACAGATTCCCCAAGTCCTGCAGAAAACACAAGAACTGGCACTTGTTGGGTCTGACTCCATGAAATTAATTCCTTCACTCCTAATCTAAAAATTTTTAAAAGAAATAAAAAGATTCATATGTATAACACCTCAATCTTGCATTTTTTTCATAAACTTACACCAAGGCTTAGTAGTGTATTTGACATGACTTAATAAAAAAAAATTAGCTAATACTTATTCATAACAGCTAGATTATTGTACTCACCTAAAACATTCTACCATCTTATGTCCTACTTCCAATAGTTCTTGCTTTGGAAATTTAACACCTCTGTAAGGAATATTAAAACTTTATATTAATATTTTGTCTAATGATTTTTCTATCTAAAGTTGAATATCATATTCAAGGTAGTGTACAGAGCCTTACAGAAAACAGTCAATATTAAATTAAGTTTTTAACCCTAAAAAGTAAATCAACCAAGGTTTCTTCCAAGGAAAATAGGTTTTGAATGATGATTGGCACTGTATAATACAACCGAGGTGAGGTGTTTATAAATTAGTTTTTGATGAAATTGAATCAATGTGTTAGATTTGTTGTTTTTCTTATCATATCTGAGCAGAAATGTTAATTTCAATAGTTTAATAACCATAAAAAAAAAAAAGCTTAAAGGTGCATTCTAGCTATACTTTTCAACTTGGTATTTTGTACAATGTTGGAGTGACTTAGAGGTCACCATTGCCCTATTCCTTATAATACTAAGATCACAACTGAATGTGATGGATGGACAACAATGCCAATTAGATAAACCAGAGGTTTTGCAGTTAATTTTGAAAAGGTCATCAACGCATCTGCAATTCTCTGGAGTAGCAGATGTCCATGGGTGGCGGTATTCACTTAACATCAGATGAACAGCCTGCTCGCATGGCAACTTTTCACATAAAAAAAATATAAAAAAATCACAAATGCCAACTTCTCATTAACATACATATTAAAGGTATATTAACTTTCGCATTAAATAACACAATTTAAATATATGTTTTTTCACTTTACAGAGAATTATTTCATTTGGATAATGTATACTTGCTTTAAAAGTTTATGTGCAGCTTGGTACCAATCTACCATATGTTTAGTCTTTTCTTCAATACTCATTACTGGATCTACTTCGATTGGCTTATAATAAGATGCAAGTTTAATTTCTTCATCCCGGTAGCATTGAGGAATTGATGGACATTCCCTAAACATGCCTATAAAATCAAAATTTAATAAAACATTATCTTTTCTATAATATGTCATCTGCACCAAGTGAAAGGAGGGCCAAATTGTATTAAGTTGAGTGAGATATGGTTTATAAAATGTTATTTTTCTGTCTATTTCTAATTAATGATCAAGTCACTATCTGGAAGATGAGATGATATCTTAAGATCAACATAGCTTATCAGTTACCATAATCAATTATTGTAAAATAATTCAAACAATAAAACAAATGAATACCTTTACACTAGGTCACTAGATGATAGATTTTGAATTTAATTACAAAAATAACTGTAACATTTTAATTCATTTTTGTGAATATACAACAAAAAGAAAAAATGCCATCATTAACAAATTATGAAATATTATATATTAAGAAAAAGTGAGGCTATTGAATAACTTACCAAAACTAGTCAAAACCATTCTACCATTATCCATATTGTGTCTAGTTAATGTATGATCAAAATCAGTAACAATTTGTAACTTTTTGTGACCATCCTTAATTACTTTATTCAATTTTTCTAGTAATTCCACCTTATTTTTTATATGAATGTTATCTTTGTTCAACTCAGAAATATCGTCAATACTGGTTAGCAGGTTTATGTTTTGGCACGTGCAAGCCATGGCTGTAAACAGATGAAAACAGGGAAAATTTAGCGTATTCCAAAATGATGGCAATTCATAATAATCCAACACTATTCTTGTTCCAAAGTGTGATATTTACTAACCTTATTTTATAAATTATAGCGCCTCTGAAATAACTAATTATTACATAAAATTAGAAAACGAAATTCACAAATCGTGTAAGTTTACCAACGGGGTTAAGATTTCAAAAGAAATGAAATTACTCCTGCTCGTATTCTCCAGTCCTGTCTAGTGTCTTCGTAAACGTCGAAGAGAATGTAATCACTAGCGATGGGCGTTGAATCAACGAACTAGTTGAATCAACCGTTGATCTCCTAGTAACGAATTAACTTTAACTGTCATTGAAATCAACTAGTTGAATTCGTTAACGTCGTTTCGGAAATTTTGTCGTTGAATCAATTCGTTTAAAAATGCAGTCAACGATACGTTAAATCAACGGAACATAAGAGTAACGAATTGAAAACCTTACGTTGAAAAAAACGTCACAGAGTTGAGTTGAAATGTTTGTTTAATTTTATGAAGGACATGTTTAAGTTCGCTTTCTTTATTTTTGTTTGACAGTTTGTGAACTATTCACAAGCGCAAGGTTATAGAATATTTTGCGGCTTTGCGTAAATATTATCAGAACTACTTCATGTTTAGAGTTTTTTTTTGTGAATTTGTAAATTTTTAATTAATTATATTTGGAATTTTATTTTATGTTATTAGTTTTGTTTATCAAAATTTTCGTTTGTGGTTAGTGTTTTGTAGTGTTTTGTATTTTTATTTATGATTATTTAAGTGTATAGAGGACTGTGGGGCTTCATACCTAAAAAGACAGTTCTAGCGGAAAAGCTGTTTGTAATGTATGCAAGGAGAAAATATCGAACAAATTGACCACTTTAAAAAGTACTTGAAGCGGAAATATATTTAAATATTTTCATCAGTGTTTTAGTACCAATCTTTAAACACCAGCGTATGATGGTTGATTTTGATAAGAAAAAATAAATAGTTTCGAACAAAAGAAAAAAAAATCATGTTTGTTAGATTTATGCGTACATAGCTATCATCCGTTTTCCCTAGTAGAAAAAAGGGCTTTCAACATACTTGGTCGAGGTGTATAGAAAAAGGAGAGGATTAGTTCAGACCACAAACAAAGTTGCGAATCGACTCGAGTAGCCATATAACATCACGATTCAACATCATTCTTACTTCCTATCTAATTAGCCTCGAGTCGACTCGTGCTTTCCGAGGTGGCCGAGTCGTCCCCCCTCCCCCCTCTTTCGCTACCGGAGACTTCGATGCGATTCAACTCGAGTTGCGCTTCGAGTCAGTAGCCAAATCAACTCGAGTAACTCGAGTCAAAAAAAATCCAACTCGTCACATCACTGGACGGGACTTCCATAATAACCAAAAATATCAGTTTACACGGCACTCCAATACCAATCATACCACAAAAATACCACAAAGATGTCAAACAACAGGAGTACCAACGTAACGAGACAAATAGTGCTTAACCAAGCTAGCTTAGCTTCTTATCGATATCGATAAAATATACTAGGTAGAACGCGAGGTTTCGACTTAATATTTTTTTTATTAATTTTAGGTAAGTATCGAGTCCGTATTTATGTCCAATGTTGATGAGGGGATATTTGGTACTAATACAAGATTGGACTTAAATGCGCACCCGAAATAAGATAAAAAACGGTTTCTGATAATTCAAAAAAAAATTTATTACTGAAACGAAATTTATTTCTTGTCTCTTGATTCTTCAGCCAACAGCTGTTGTCCTGTTGTACACGAGTCTGGAAATAATTGAAACATAAAAATAGAATCAAAATCCAAAAATTATTTTAGTTTTCTTGCATACTCAGCGCACGAAATTAATTATATGACGTGTCAATATTACAGAGATTACGTTTCAAAATCCTGCAAAATTCACCTATTCCAATAAGTAAAACTGTGACCCTACTCTTTCACGCAACATCTTATTTCTTATTTTTTTTCAATGATAAACATTAAAGTAGTTATCGATAGGTGGATATTACAGTTGCAGTACATCACTAGCACACAATTTAAATGAGATAAATTTGTTAATTTTATTTGTTCTTCGCCTGCTCTACTTACATATGGCTGCAAAGTATCATATTTAAGTGCTTACATGGGCTTCATCTAAGGGAAATCTCGCCATAAACATCCCTTTTTCAAGGTTCGAATGACTTGCTCGATTTTCAGCAATTTCAAAGGTAATAAACAGTCTTTTTGGCATTTTAAATTAAAAGTATAACTCTGATCACCTGTCACTAGTTTTCGTGAGAAAGTTTACTCTAAACAATTTAAATTTACAATGAAATAAGCATTTCCATTCAAAATACGCGGTGCAAAATTAAGTTTTGACAAACAACATGGCACTTCTTGTATTGCAAGAAAGAGAAACCGCATTGAGGGAGAGCGATAGCAATGTCCGCCATTATTTGCCGCGTAAAGTCCATAGAAAAATTTTTTGTTCCTAGTTTCGCCAGACTGGTAAACGTAAACTGAACCAAAGAGTAAAGAGTACTTTTATATAAGTATCTGAAATTTTTATATCTGAACTGAACTGAAATTAAAGACTAATAAATGTCATATGATGGGTACAGTACAGCCAGTACAGGACAGGCAATTAAATAATTTATTGATGTGGGCTAGATTTAGGTACGATGAAAAAGATAAAACAATTTTAAAAGGATAGTATTTGTAAAAAAATTATAGAACACTAAACTTTGTCATTTGCATTAAAAAATAGTAATTAATTTACTTTTCTTCCAAGTTTATCAGTTCTTCGATATTAGTTTCATCTTTAGAATTTGATGATAATAACATAGCCTCAGTAAGAATAAAAATTAAAATCAGTAAAACTAAAAATGACGGAATAGAGAAATCAAGTGTGAGTCTGTCTTGCCAACTTAGAGAAAGCCCCAAATTTAGGACGGCATAGCTTTTTTAGGGCCATGAATAATATTTCATGAATCACTATTTTCACTGACCAAGGTGGGTAAAAAAAAGCAAAATGTCTATTACTGAAATGTTATTTAATATTGTGTTGTTTGCTTAATTATTTTAACTATTTGTAATAAAAAGTAATTTAAAATAAGTTATATTTTATTTACCTTCACAAAACGTACGAATTCAATATAGGGCTTTTCTTGGGGCTTAAGAAAATGGCATTTAGGACTACTTAGGGCTATAATTTGATCTTGATTTTAGAGCCATTATTTTAGTAGTTGACAACAATAGTGTAAGGACCATGTAGGCGTAACCCGACGATCACAGTTGAGCGAAAGTGTCACTAACTGAGGGCATTACATTAAGACAATTTGCTTTTTACCCAGGTTGATCATCCATCGTGCTGCAGGGCGTTTCACACTACGTTTCCCTAGCCGTGGTGTCAACTCTAACACGTGTCGGCTCCACCTACCATCAATACGTCTGGAGACATGGCCAGCCCACTTCCATTTCAGCGTGCTAATTCTGCGCGCAATTCGGTTAGTTCTTTGGCGAATGACTTCGTTTCTAGTTTACCAGAGAAACCCCAAGCGATGCACGTTCCATCGCCCGCTGAGCAACCTTGAATTTGTGGACCAGCCCCACGGTGAGTGTCCACGTTTCGGCTCCGTAGGTCATTACTGGTAGGACGCACTGGTTAAAAACTTTGGACTTGAGGCTACGACTCAAAAATGTGTCGTAGCTTCCCGTATGCCACCCAGTCTAAGCGTATTCCTCGTTTGGCCTCTTTCTCAAAGTTGTGCCGGCCTAGTTGTATAGTTTGGCCAAGGTAGGTGTATTCCTGCACAACCTCAAGCATAGCGCCAATCACGACCACTGATCTCGGGATCACATGACTGTTGGACATAATTTTCGTCTTTTCAAGGTTCATACCGAGACCCACTTACCTCGAAGAATCACTTAGGTTGTTGAGGGTGGTTTCCAGATCTTGCAAAGATTCTGCCATAATGACAATGTCGTCAGCGAATCGCAAGTGTTTTATTAATTGACCATTAATATTAATGCCCCGTCTGTTCCAATCCCGCGTCTTAAAGACGTCTTCCAATGCATTGGTAAACAATTTCGGGGAAATCACATCCCCCTGTCTTATCCCCACGATGCAATTGGATTGGCCTTGTGCTTTGACCTTGTACTTGGACGGAAATTGTTGCGGTCTCGTATAGATTTCTCCATATACGCTAGGCATAGAGGCTGGTTGCATTCCTCGGTCTTCTGAATTGTTCGCCTAAGTGTATGTATGTGGTCTACTGTGCTGAAACCTTTTCGAAACCCGGCCTGCTCCAACGGGCTGGAAGTCATCGAATTTTTGAGCGAGACGATTCGTTATAACCCTCAAGAACAATTTATATATATGGCTCAGGAATGATATTGGTCTATAGTTTTTCAACAAAGTCACCCTTATCACCCTTCTTGAAAACAGCATAACCACACCTCTGCTCGATGCCTCCGGTGTAATGCCATTATGGAGGACGGAATTAAAGATTTTTTTTGTATTAACTGATGTTTTTGCTTTCAGTTCCCAGACTATTAAAGCTTCATCTGACGCAGAACCGGTGGGCTAGCCCTCCGCTGTGGGTAGGGCCACGCATGTGTAAGTATGGTGTGTCATCTAAGGGCTATTGAGGTCGCGGTTCGGACCGAAACCCCGATGGCCGTCGACTGTGCAATTAGCTAATCGGTGGCTGGGGGCGGTGAGAACCGCCCCGGAACGCGGGTGTACCTTGTGTACGCGTTGTGTTGGTCTCGCCGTGCTCGGAGGCGAGGGCGAACTAGTGTGTTTGTTGTTGCACTAACAGTGAGTGTAGTGTTATCCAGCGGGACCCCGGCGGTGGGTCCATCGTTTCTAAGTCCTCTTCGTCGCTCGGGGCGATGAGGACGTTTCGCGGGCGACGCTTGTTGACGTTCGCGTTTGTGTCGGGTTGGTAATTTGCTGCGCTTACCACCAGAGGGTTGGGATTATGTTCGGCTCTATTGAAGAACCGTTTGGTCAGGTCTTTAAAATATTCGCGAATCATCGGGAGTCTGCAATCGCTGTGCAGGTCGACGTTGCGTTGATACCACTGCGCACCTGTTGCGCGGCGGATAAACTTATTTTGTACTATTTTTTGTTTAAATATACAGCGTGTCGTTACAACCACGACAATAAATAAACACATGTGTGTTTATTTATTTTAGTCTATATGTATAGAGGATAACTTTTTAAAATTGTAATAAGCATTTACATTCTTTAAACATCAATATTTACCCAGTTATTAAATTTTACAAAACAAACATTTTTAGAACAGCCTTAGGTATAAAACTGTAACGTAAAGTTCATTTGTAAAGGTCACAAAGCATATGAATGGGTTGGATGAATTTAAAAGCGATAAAACATATGTATGTAATGCGACGTTGTAAATTGGCAACGAATTAAAGTCTCTGAATGTATGAATCAGTCAGTTTGTTTGTTTGTTTAAAATTTATAACATCCTATACAACTACAACTGACTGATTCATACATTCAGACACTTGCCACAGCGTCGCATTAGAAATCTCTCCTTCTAACAGTATGTTTTATCCCTTTCAAATTAATTCAACCCATTCATACGCTTTGTGACCTTTACAAATGAACTTTACGTTACAGTTTTATACGTAAGGGTGTTCTAAAATTGTTTGTTTTGGAAAATTCAATAACTAGGTAAATATTGATGTTTAAGTTAAAGTTTAAATATTAAAGTTTAATGTAAATGATTAATACAATTTTAATAAGTTATCCTCTAAATGTGTATTGATTTATGGTCGCGTTAGGAGACAGGCTGTATATTCTTTACCAATTTAATAAACTGAAGTTAGAAATTAAGTTTTTTCTTCAACTGTATTTGTTTCTTTGAACTTTATGGGTAAAGATAATAAATATAAGCTATAATAAGCATAAATTAAATTAAACAAACATGGGATAAAACTTTATGAATATATTTTTTGTCTCCTTGCGGGTTTTTCTAAAACAATGTGTGAGGGCAGAAACATATATTAGAGGTAATATATAAGTATCACATTATTTCGTTTGTAGATATTTTATAGATATTTTAAAGTATTTACTTAGAATCATATTTATAATAGTTGTAATCAATAATATTATTTATAATAGTTGATAAAAAAAAATCTATGATTGGGCAAAACACGTTCTTAGGACCAGAAAATTATTTTCATCACATTTTAATACGATATGAGCGGAAATCTATGTCAATCACAATATACATCATAACTACGCCAATTATTATTATGCAAATACTTGTTACGAAAAACTATGGTAAAATGTAACCAAATAAACCTTTATGCTTAACCCAATAGCGAGAATATGCTTACAAAATGTAAAAGCGAAAATCGTTAGTAGATATGGTAGGTAATATAATATTACGAACATTATACGTCGGAAAATTATCTCAATCAAGCGAATAACTTAAAAATAACTGTACAAATAAGCTGTGATGTTACAAATGAATATATATTTTATACCATTTAATATTTATATTTTAATCGAAATCACAATTTGGCTCCAACCGCTTGGTTCGCATCGCACTGAGCGTTGTTTATTAATTTAGCTATACAGTATGCAGTCACAACACAAGCATAAATACAAATAATCTTGGTCCGAAATGTGCGTCAGTCGTCGCTTTAGTCGTCGCTTATTCGTCTCTTTTTTGACTTCTTCTTCTCCATTGCCTCCATTCGCATGTCCTCCAAATCTTCCATGATGCCTGCGGAATGAAAATAAACTTTGAACATACTATACTTAGTGAACTAACTCATTGCAAATATCGTTCTTATATATAATGCGATATTTATTAATAAAAAAATAACGTTGAGCATATATCATATTGACTTGCGTTGGAAGTTTTACATACACAAAGATCACATGGACAGACACCATTATTTGGGGCACACAATGCGTGAACTTAGAACTTAGTGACTGCCTCAACCGAGGCATCATTTATAGATCTAGGCTAGATTTAAAACTAGATAAACAGGATATTAGTAACAGAAGTCATTCTAAAAGTCTTACACAATAACCTTAGAATGACTCAAAGACCTAATTTACAAGTCAATAGTTAGTTATTGAATTGTGTTGAAAAACTTAAAGCTTCGCAATTCATAATCAGCCGGCATTGATTACAATGGTTACAAATTTCGAGATCGAGAAGCAATTTAAAAATCGATTTATAAATAAAAGTACAATACTCTACCGACTGAGCTATCCGAGCCGTGATAGCTCAGTGACCGGGCGCTCGCCTTTAATTACCTTTACTCGAGCACCAATGAAATTGTTAATTTTAAGTGCTTAATTATCACGCGTGATAGGAAAACATCGTGATGAAACCTGCATATTTTCGAAATAATAATTAAAAAAAATATATTTCGAAAATATGTGAAGTCCGCCAATCCGCAGTGGGACATTTATAGGCTGTTACTTTACTTTTACTTTTTTTTATTAATAAAGCGTACCACCACTACTTGACTTGCGGGATAATGATTAAATGATGTGCCGTTTTAAAGATAACGCGACGGTTCACAAGGGCAAAGTGGCGATGACGGATGATTGCTTTCAGTAAGTACAGTTCGAGCCGTCTGTTCACCTACTCTACAGTCCCGATAATGAGATAGGATGGATATGCCAAGAAACACATACAACAAAGTAGCATAGAGGACTGTTGTCGATTACGAGAGCGGATAAAAACAAGTTCCCAAAAGCTGTGGCAAATCATGGCCTCGACTTGCTAAAGCTGCTGTGAGAGAGAAACAATAGTTTAATCCTTTTGTTTATTAGCCTTACATAAAGCAGTTTGATGGACCATCAACTAATAGCTTTTAGTTATGGCTCTCAATCGGAGCAACCAAGTGACGCTTTATATTAACTTTTTTTTAAACTATCCATGCGCCTCGCCTCGAGTGGCGACCACTCACCGGAAGACGTAGCGTTGGAAGGGCTCCCGCTAAGTCAGTGTTTCCCAAACTTTTTTGTGCCATGCACCACCTTAACCTTTCTAATTTTATGTCTCCCCTCTATGTAACATAAATGATTATACCCAATAATTATTTACCGCAATTAATCAAGAGTTTGCTTTTTTCGTTAAATTTGGCACCGAAATCTAGCATTGCATTCAAAATTGCCTGGAGCGAAAGGTTTGAACTCGTGTTTAGTCCATTTTCGGATTGCCCCCCTGCAGAATCAAATTGTCCCCCTTAACAATCAAATAGCCCCCCTGTGGGGCATGGGCCCCACGTTGGCAAACACTGCTCTAGGTGGACCGACGACAACGTAAGAGTCGCGGGCAACCGTTGGATGCAAATGGCAAAGTGTCGTTCGTTGTGGCGTTCTAAGGGGACGGCCTATGTTCAGCAGTGGACGTATTGCGGCTGATGATGATTATGATTATGATGATGGTGATAATGATGATTACAGAAAGTAAAAAATCGCTGTAACCCATACCTATTTTCTTACTGATGTACTCCTCCCGTTGTTGGCGTGCGAAACTCGACTCCATCATGGGATCATCATCGTCGTCCATATCTCGGTATCTTGGAAATAAATATTTATTAATACTAGCGGTCGCCCATTGGTCCATAGTTAATTATATATGGTAGTGTGTGTAATGTTCTTTTACTTGATTTAATGTATTTTTATGCATAATTAAAAAAAAATACAATTCTGCACTTTTCTCTATATAAACTATAAGTTTGGGAAATTTCCACCGTCCGAGCAATTTTCGTAAAAAGGGGTACAAAGTTTTTGATGTATATAGATTGCTGTTTAATAAATCTAACAAATCGTTTGAAACTGTATTTATATTTGACCTATTATTTTTTTATATTAAAATATTACTGTACTGTACTAATAGTACTGCACTGTACTGTTTGTACTATTATTAATCCTTCTCTTCTTATCTAATTTTTTTAGACAGCTAGGACTCTACCATTATTGAGATATCCTCCAGGTGTTTAGAATTAATAACAAACATCCAAGCAAAATAACAATGCGTAAATTCCGTACAGTCGCGTTCGATTGCGATTTTCACCCCTAATAATAGTTACAACAAACTCATATAAAACTAATTTACAGATTTTTCACTTTTAATTATGGTTTTAATAGGAAAGACACTCTGCCGTGTCCATTGCAAAGTGATCGAACCTTTAAAATAAAAACCATTGTTATTACATATATATATTTAAAACTAAATTAAATGCGAAATAAAATTACTACTATTTAAAACTAAATTAAATCTATACATTCGTCTTATTTGGCGTAAATATAAGAAGTAATTCGATTGAACACTGAAATTGTGTACAGGATTTAATGTCCACGACAGTCAGCAAAACAAACAGTAAATAATATAATAAAACCTTTTATAAGACTAAGAAGGAAAACCTAACATCATAAATATATATGATCCTCTTGAAATTACAAATTAAATCAAAATAAGAGGTAATAAAATACAACATACTTTGCTTTATCATATCCGAATATCTCCTTGATGTGCGTTGAATAATCAATATTTTCGTCGCCATCGTCGATAAAGTCATCCATTTCGGAGTCGTAGTCGGATTCAGAATCCACCGTACGCCCTGGGAAATTAATATGTTAAAAGTGTATTATCAATATTTATGTTCATTAATTCTAAACCCTGCAAGATATCTAAATGTGTTAATTTTCATTAAAATCCTTTCTAATTGCTTACACTTTCAAATAGACAGATAAAATTTAAAACCAATCATTCATGTTAAAGTATCGTAATTTTCCTCTAAATTTCGGAATGATTATTACATACACACATTTCAATTCTATTATTCATAATAAGATAGAAATTTCATTGACTTAGAAATTAATACATTTGTATTTAATAACAAACTCAGCATTTAAGACATTAAGAGTGCCAATGTTTAAATGAAACCGCTTTGGTGATTTTTATCAAGTTATATTTAAAATTAAATCGACGTATTGAATAGTTTACAACATTAATGGCCAAAGGTCGGACCGGATTCGAGCGCGCGCGATGAAAACAGCAAAAACAGTTTTACTTAAGTGTCTAGTGTTCGCAAAACGTGATAAATGATTATGAGAACCAGTGTTCTTTAGATGAAATTGTATGCGTACACAGTAAAAAGATAATATATTGTAAGTGCAGTAAGACAAAACTGTCAGTAAAAGTAAATAAAATTTGTGCATGTTCGCTCGGCCAATCGCGTCGGTTTGTGCGGTCAATTTTATCTTATTCAATATACTTTATGGCCTTCGATACTCCTTTGAGAACTTTATAGCGACTATGGCGCAACTGCTATTCGAGATGTTTGTCGTTCAGTATATTATGGTCTCATTGACAGCGCGATGGAGGTACTATAATTTCGCGCTTCGTCTGGTAAGATTACCGCCAGGTGTCGTAGATGTCCACGAGGGCCAGCCAATTAGTTCAAATAACAGAAAAGAGACAGCAATAACTTACGTTTTTTCCGTTTCGCGTCGTCAGCGTGGGGTTTTCTTCGTACATCGCCGGGCGGGAATTGACGCGCGCCGTTCTTACCGATGGAGTTCACATGCTTGTCGAAGTTGAAGCTGTTGGTTATCTTTGCTTTGCTCGCTCCGGCGGGCTGCTTCGCGTTCGCCAACGGCCTCTTGTCCTCGGATCGTTTCGAGGGCATTTCTTTGCCGCCCTCCTGTATTCTCTTCGTAGCGTCCGGCCTAACGAGACCATTATTCTTCAGCGATCCATTAGCGGGGTGTACTTTTTGTTTCACTTGTGCGAGTTTGTCCCTAGCGTCGTTTTTCTGCGACGGTTCTTTGTTTGATTTCGGCACTGGCCTCTGGTGAGTGCTGTGGCCGTTGATTTGCCTGGTGTCGCCACTCTTACTTGGTATAGAGGACCTCTTTTCCGGCTGATTCTTATCTATCCGATACGTGTTTTGACTCTTTAGGTCTATGTTTTTCTTTTCCTCACACTTCCTAGGTTGGCTTATTTTTTGCCTGTCCAACGAGTTCACCGCTTTGTTAGCGTCAAATGAACTTTTGGACTCTAGTTTGGATTTAGTCTTCTCTAATCTGTCCCGATCTCTGTTAAGGCGGTCAATATCCCTATCAATTCTTTCCCTTTCAGCTTTGAGTTTTTCTAGCCTTTCCCTGTCTATTCTTTCTTTTTCACGCTCTAGTTTGGCCCTATCCGATATATCTTTTTCTTTAGCTCTTTCTTTTTCTAATCTGATTCTGTCTTTTTCTCTTTGAAGTTTTTCAGCCCTTTCTCTGTCTACTGCACCTCTTTCTTTCTCCTTTTCAACAGATTTTACATTGTCATTTGATCGTTGGCTACCAACATTTTTGTCGCTCAGTTTTGGTATGCGGCCGATACCACTGGGTTCTGCTTTTTTCTCTTTTTCGAGAGGTTTATCTTCTTTTTGCACTGGAACTAAGTAACATTAGGAAAATATGATTATAAATTTTTATGTATAAAGATAAAAATAAAATAGCTGCAAATATAGACGTAAATAGATTATCAGCTAAGCGTGGATCTGTATCAAAATAAAGTCTGTACTTTTGGACGATCCGGAGAAAGTATGTGAAAAACGTTTTGGATGAAAACAAAATGAGTTGTAAAGAAATGGATGGAAGTAATAAAATACAGGTCATTGCTAATTTTGAATGTTACAAGTATTCCATTGGAGTTGTAATAAAGAGGCAGGAATTTGGTGCCCCCTAGCACCCTAATCTTTCTTGCAGAAGTGGCGTTAAGTGTTGCCGTAACATACGGCCCGGGTTGAAGTATTTAAATTCAAAATGGTTCTGCGGAGACTAAGTGTGGACATATGTTGTTGTAGGCCCTTTGGATGACTCCTATCTTGGTTAAGATGTCTGCTACACGGTTGATGTTGTCTCTTCCGAACCTTTAAGACTCCGCAGAGAAGCTGTGTGGTGTTAACAGTTACATATTTAATTTAAACACTGGCGGATAGAATTGCCTCCATGGTACACCTCATCAGAAAATATCGAACTTTTAATTGAATTATCAAAACTATTGTTGTAGCAAAATAAGTGATAAATACTAATCGATTACCTTTTCGATTTCCTGCCTTCTCCGCTTCAATTCGCTCTTGTCTGCGCTGCCGTCGGGCCATTTCTTCTTCATACTCCCTTTTCTGCCTCTTAGTCATGAGGCGGTCGGGTTCAGGTTCAGCAATTTGTTTTTTGGTGGAAACCTCCACAGGTTCACTTTTCTTTTTCTCAGCGAGCTTCAGGAGCTGATTGAAGTCCATTGGTGGTGGCATTGGTTTCCTCACTTTTGGCTTTTCGGATTTTTCATTGCGAGCCTTTTCGGGTTCATATTTCGGAGGTGGGCTTAATTCTTTTTCTAAAATTTCAATGAAACGAATACAAATGTAAACACAAAATATAAATTAAAAAAGTTTGTTTTAAAAGTTATTGACTTTTTGGTAATGAATGGAACAATCATTACTAAGAGGTTAGTTGAAATATTGTTATAGAGTCCATGTCCATCAAATATAAAAGAAATATAGATTATGACTTTTCACAATCCTGTTCTAATACATACAAACAATAACTAAAAAATTGTCTTGTGACATTAGCTGTATGCATTTTTATTAGCTCAGTATGATTGTTTGCTCAGAATGATTGTTTGTCATTAATATTCATTACCTTATAATTTAAGTATCAATTTTAGTGGTTTATATATTTTTAGTGGACTTTTAGTTATTATAATTAATTTCTTAGATTTGATAGTTTATATTAATTAATCTCATCAAGAAAAATTATAAATAACAAAAATCTCACCATTGTCACCCTTGCGTCTTCTTTTATGTGGAACTGGTTCATCTTCATGCTGAAGAGCATTTCTCACTCTCTCTCTTGTGCCATTAAGATCCTTGATTACTGAGTTGGCTAAAAGAACAGAATAAAACTAGATGAATAATAAATAAAAGAATCAATAGTTCTTCATGAATGAATGAATGAAATTCATCTGAATAAAATAACTATTTATGTCCTTAACAAGCACTTATCGACTTAATTAAAAACAGATTTTTTTTTAAAAATTATTATTAAGACAAAATAAACATTGTTAACATTACCTTTGTTGTAGTAGGTTAACACCACATTTACAATTTTTCCATGCATCCTTCTGTAGCCTTAAGTAAGCTATTGCTTATTGGATGTGTGTGGGCACGTGGTTGCACGCATATACGCGCGCGCGCGTTTGCGTGCGTCTGTGTGTGCGCGTGCGTGCGTGCGCGTGTGTATGTGTGTGTAGGCGTGCGTGCGTGCGTGTGCGTGCGTGCGTGCGTGTGTGCGTGCGTGCGTGTGTGTGTGCGTGCGTGTGTGTGTGCGTGCGTGCGTACGTGTATGCGCATACGTGTGTGAGAGCGTGCGTAAGTGCATATTGGCAATCTCGTAAAAGACTACTTCTGCAGATCATTATATTCAATACTTTATTTTTGTAGAGTTAACATAGAGATGCATTTAACCACAAAAAATATATATTTAATTATTAAGTAATAAAATCTTTTTTTTCATGGTTCTCAAAGCAAAAAACAATAATCATCTCAGTCTTATTTTAGTATTACATTCCTTTGTATAGATAACTAGCGACCCGCCCCGGGTTTGCTATGGGTGCAATGAATTATACATATAAACCTTCCTCTTGAATCACTCTATCTAGTAAAAAAACCGCATCAAGATTTGTTGAGTACTTTTAAAGATTAGCATACATAGAGACAGATAGACAGCAGGACGACTTTGTTTTATACAATGTAGTAAATATTATTCCATAAAATCCTATAAATGGTACATTGCTAAAAATGGTGAAGAAATTCTAATAAATTTAGCCCTTTGGACAATTATCTATAAAATAAAATATTTAAATTATGCAAACCAACTAAAGGTTGGCAGTTAATTGTAATCCTAATTAAACAATAAGCATTATACTTACTTTTTGTGGGAAATTTGGGTTCGTCTGCTATTTTACTATATTTTTGCATCATTTTCTCATAGAGAGCAGTTGCTTCTTGAGATACATAGCCATAATCATCCTGGTCAGGTTGATCAGGTCCTTCACGGGTAACTGCTGTATTATTTCTATCCACTGCATCTTCTAGCACAGACTTATTGGCAGATTTGATTACTTTTAAAGTCTTTTGAATCTTCCTTAAAGCCTTTGGATCACGCATAGCAATTAACTCTTCGCGTTTTCTTTGAGCTTCCAACTGTTTCAGTCTTTCTTCCTCTTCTTTTTTTGCTAAAAACTTTTGTATGTTAGCTGAAAGTCTGTCTTTGACTTTTTCTTCCTTTTTCGGTGGATCAAAACGGGCCTTATAATAATAGTTATCCTGTAAGTGCGAAATTAGTCAATCAGAACAAGTTGTATAAAATTCACTTCAAATTTCTATTCCAAAGATTGTCCAAGTTAATGAATAAATATTTATATGTAGTAAATAGACTAATTGTTTACATTCATTATACGTTCATAATTGATATTTACTTCCAAGAAGTTATGATAAGCAAATTGTGAAAAAAACCTAATGAACGTCGCAAACTAAAGATCAAAACTCACAGATGATTTTTGTTGTTGGTTCCTTTGGGCAGCTAATAACGTTTCTCTAAACTCCATTTTTATTGTTTTGATACTTTAACAAACTTATATAACCAATAAATATAATAGCATGATAAATTTTCTTTGAAAATATTTACGATTAATAGCGAAATACGTGTCAGACTTCGACACACTATCCAACCATTTTCTGGAAACGTACTGACCACAGATTAATGATACTAAACTCCACTATCTATACAAATAATATACCTAATCCTCAAACAACAGAATATAAATACAAATTAGGGATGTGAAAAAATAATCGATTTTCATATTAATCGATTATTTTTATTCTTATAATCAATTTTTTAAAATTATTTTTTTCAATAATAATAATCGATTTTTAATAAATCGATTATATCAAATTAATTTTTTAAACGACTTTTGTTAACAGCCATCTATGTATACAGGGTGATTTTTTTAGACTAATTACATACTTTGACATTATGTTAATTAAGCATTCCATAATTTAAAAAAAATATAAATACTTTATTTTGACAAGAAATAACCAGAAAAATATGAATTCTAACATTGTTTGTTTATCCCGTTAAGAGTGCTCACCCTATTGATGCGTTCAGCGAACAGTTTTAGTGCTCGTGAATAGGTTAATGTAATTACAAAGCAAAACAGGAATTTCTAATACGGTGGTGTTCGTAATGTATTTTTGTTATCAAATCGGAAAGTTGTCGTTAAGGTTATTTTTTATATTACTCATTTAGATTTTGATTCTGGTAAACTATGAACACTATACTTATGTCATTTAAGTTTTATTGCAGGATTTTAAGAATAATAGAAAATAATCGATTTTTTCAAAAACGATTTTTATTTTGTCTGATTAAATTATTTTACAAAATCGATTAATATTTAATAATCGATTTTTAATGATTCGATTTTTTCTCTCAATGTCACATCCGTAATACAAATTACAAAATGCCAGTTTACCCTTTGAATGGACCTTGCCATTATTTAAAACTGTCATGGTGTAATGCGACACGAGTTAATCGAGTTTCACACTTTGCTAAAACTCGTAAAACGTTAAAACCTTCACACACGAACAAACCTCGTTCAATTTTTCAATTCAATTTTTAAGTTCAATGGTGACAAGCATGCACGTAGTTCGTCTTAAATTTAATCATAACCACTGCTAAGCTACAACACCTATGTCTTACCCATAGATTTATAAAATCTATGGGATAGGTAATACTTTACCTACCTTTGAAAGAGTGTGACTTTATTAATACTTCATTTACTATAAAAAAAAGTTGAATAACAGCCTATACATATTCCACTGTTGGACAAAGGCCTCCTCTGTATCAGGGCATAGTCCACCACGCGACCCCGCTGCGGATTTGCGGACTTCACATACCATTGAAATATTTTTTTCAAAATATGCAGGTTTCACGATGTTTACCTTCATTGCTGAGCACGTGCTAAATCAGCACTTTAAATCAATTTCATTGGTTCTGGCACCATGATTTGAACTCTCGTGATATTCCTAGTAGTTAATCCGACCTCGTACTCTGTTTAACGTGTTGAGTTGCATTGCTTTTTCACCGTAGTTTTGATTTTTTAAGTGTTATAATTTCTGTTTAGTCGTTTTTGTTATTGAAGTGAAAACTTCTCGTTGAGCACTTTTTGGGTCAACAAAAATCATGGAACTCACGAGCTATTTTTAAAAACGAATTCGCAAAGATATATTTGTAGTTATGATATTAATACTTTTATTATCGTTCGGCCTATAAAATAATTAGACAATTTAAATTTTAATAAAACTAAAAAAACAATTTTAATGTTTTCACTTCTGTCAGCAGTCCCCATTAGACTACATAAGTTTATTTATGATTCTTCGTTATTGCTATTGTTATTTATAAAGGTTACGCTTAGCGTGTTCAAATCAAAGACCTTACATTTACTAATGTTTGTAACTATAAGATCTTTGATTTTGTTTGGTTGTAAAAACAGAAAATGTGAGGCACATGAACTGCTGCTATTAACTTCAGAGCCACAGAGTTGTTTGACACGTACTTTACTCCACTACCACTAGAATACTCGATTCGATCGAGTGAAATTACTGAAATAATCCGAGACCGAGTAGTATAAAGAAGACGTAAGCCAAATCAATTTTTTTATAAATATATATTTTTTTTTAAATAAATTTTAACGAATAAACTAAAAAACTTACCAAATCTTTTTTGATTTATCAAATTGGTTTTAAAATCACTTCTTATGTTATAATTATTTTATCCACTTAATTTCGTATGATTTTCTTAATAGTTGTGTGGTAGTTGAACAGTATTGAAAAATTGAAATGCGTAACATATATTGTATGTGTACAAAAACAATACTAGTAAAGGATATTGAAAAATCAACATATTTTCATACTAACCAAATTACAAATTAAACTTTATGTCAAATAATTCATGATATGTCGAAAAAATCTTAACATAATAACAACAGCTCAACAGCTATTTTTTCATTTTTTATAAATCGATACAAGATATAAGTCTTCTCTCTCTTAAATTCCAGTTAAAAATGGTAACATTGAACATTATTTTTGACACTGACGTTTATCGTTATCTCTTTCCTTTTGAACAGTCTTGACTGAAGGTGAAAATATGGTTTGTGTTTTATATTGTAAAATTATCTGGTTTTAATAATTCAATCTTAGAATTGTAGTACAAAGTAAATCTTACCTTTTGTACTTAAAGTAAACAAGTGTTCTAAGCATTCTTTATTTGTTAAATCAGCAATATATAAATCGCTTGATAATATTTCATGTTCTTCGGCAGGCCACATCTAAAAAAAAGACCAGGAAGCTTAGAGGACACGTGAGCCATGGACATGGTCGTATTGGTAAGTTCTTATTTAGTAGATTAATAATTTAAATTCTATGGATTTCTTTTTCAGCATTGTTTATAACTTCCATATGAATACACAGTATATGCAATAATTTTTCAGGTAAACACCGCAAGCATCCCGGTGGTCGTGGTAATGCCGGTGGTGAACATCACCACAGAATCAATATGGATAAATATCACCCTGGATATTTTGGCAAGGTAACTAGTGTTCATATAGAGCAGTATAGTGAGGCAGCACATACTGGATTCGGGATATTTTCAAAATATACCGAGTTTTATATAAATATAATATCTGTTTCTTGTGTTTATGTCTATATGTTTTTTCCTGCATTATTTTATGTTTTCAGCTTATACCATGAATCATTATATTACTTAAACTTTGTAATAAAATAAAATTTGGCAGTAATACAACATGACTGTTTTTAGTTGTAGACATTTTTTTTATTATGTATAGTGCTTCTATGAATTGAAAAATTATTTTTCTTTCTATTATACATTTTATGCAATAAGTAATATTGGTTGTGATGATCTTTTACAGCTTGGTATGAGGAACTACCATTTGAGGCGGAATAAGGACTTTTGTCCTGTTTTGAACTTGGACAAGCTGTGGACTTTAGTTTCAGAGCAGACCAGGCTTAAATATGCCAATGCCTCTGATGGTAAGGTGCCTGTTATCAACATTGTCAAGGCTGTAAGTGCTTTTCCAAATGTATATTTTTTTTTTATTGTATTTCCTATAACATTCTTATTTTAATGTTGGCAAACAACAATGGCATGATTTTATTATATTCTCATACATCTACCTACCGAGATACATTTTGATTAGATACAAATTTTGGTCTGATGTGTTTGATGTCCCATGGCTAAATTGTCTATGAGTAAAATGTGAAATTTGTATATTATTGGTAACACCTTTTTTTGGCAACAGTTATTTTCTTCAATGAAAATATTAAATTCATAGGAAAGCTCTGATATTCCAGTAGCTAGAACTGAGTGTACAATTCCTTTGCTCTAAGTGTGTTTCCTGTATGCAATAATGAATTTCCTATTTTGGAGTGTTTATATGCAGAATACTAATTTTTCTAATATTTTCCATTAGCACGGGGTGTTTTTTCAACCTAATAAAATTATTTGGTAGAAAAAAATCACTAATTAAATAATCAACAAACGGAATTCTCTGGTTGCTTGTATATTTCGAGAAAAAAAAAATTTAAAGGTTATTTTCTTTATAGTTATAAATATTATTGAACAAATAACGGTTCATTGTTTTCAGTCCAGCATTTGCACATTTCCAGTATTACAACATGTCATACCAAAAATTTCATGCAATGTTAATTCTGCACAGCGTGCTTTATTTTAGCTATTCTTTTTAGGCTCTGTTGTCCAAAAAAAAGAGATGTATGCCAAGTATAAAATATTTGATTTCAATATTGAATATTTTATATCCATATATCGGATTAAAATATGTCGCCTAAAATATCGATATATTTAATAAAAAAATATCGATATATTGATATTTTTTCGGCATCCCTACATCACATCTTCCCCTGTTGTATGAATGTGTAGGCTTCAGTGTGATGTTGAAGTAATATGCTTATGTACCTTGTCTGGTGCTTGAGGTAACCAGGACCCACTATATTCAAAGCTTTGAAACCCATTTGCAACCCCACAACATAAATGAGGCACGGCCAGCATTTAACATAGTTCACAAAAAAAGTACATACTGTCAATATAATGCATAATTAGGGAATAAAAAAAATTAGGGGATTACCTTACCTTATATGTTCAGAAGTCCCATTGTAATCTTAATTTTTTTATGGATTTTTCAGGGTTACTACAAATTGCTGGGCAAAGGCAAACTTCCAAAGCAGCCTGTGATTGTCAAAGCAAAATTCTTCTCTAAGACTGCTGAGAAGAAAATTAAAGATGTTGGTGGGGTGTGCGTATTGTCTGCGTAACTTAAGTGTACAATAAAATTTTAAAAATTTATTTTGGTATACTATGATTTCTTATCATAAAGGAACTAACATGATCATTGATCACCAATTTGAAGTCAGTGGCGGAATTTACAAACATTTACGTGCTTATTCATGGTCGTACTAAAGGCGTAATAAATAAATAAACATTTTACACTACTTTAAAAATAAACATTTTACTCTTCTTTCTCTAGTCCCAATCGAAGCAACGCTTCTACTAGATAACCGAAAAATAAACATAAACCTACTTTTCTTATGTAAATAAATACATATTAACACCCAGCTCCCACACCTGGAAAACAGTTCATCACACAATATTGCAGTAATGGAAATGTTTCCGATTGTGACTTTAAAACTGGCAGTTACTCCTAATAATATCTATTGTGATCTAAAGTTAATTGCTCGAACATTCTTGGCGTAATTAGTATTAAAACCAAATCAGAATTTCTATTTTGGTGAATATCAGTAAGAAGCGCACAGGTTTGCGCGTTTACCGCGAAGAGGAAACCCTTCGTTGTATCTTCGTCTATTAAAGGCACTCTCCTTGTTGCCACCGATTCGATCGGAATTCTTGGCGTTGATATATCGAGCGGCATTCAATTTCGCGGTCATTTGGAAGGAAAAGGCAAGCTGGCTTCTTAAAAGCTCGGTGTTCTAAATCGAACGAGACAGTACTTCCTGCCGGCATAATGCTTGCAGCTTTATAAAGCACATATTCGGACATGGAATACTGGTCTCACCTTATTCAACGAAGAGCCGCTCTAATCGTCGACGACCAGGTCCTATCCGATCGCCTCCACTCTTTAGCCTTGCGAAGGAATTAAGTAATTATAATTAATGAAACAATTTTTACGGATTTATCGCGTTTATTTTTAATTGTAATTTTCGACGTTTCGAACCTTTCATGGTCACGAGACAAAGGTGTTGGACGTCTGAAATTCTCAATGTCATTGCTAACTCTGGCTACCGCCAGTTTTTAATTATTAATTTTTCTGTCGATCTACGCAGAACATGCAAATTTTATCTTGTCTTAAGTGGTTCGTTTGGGCCTAGATTTCATTTTTATATAATAGGATCCCAAGCTGGCGGTAGCACTCAACCTTCTTTTGTATTGAAGTTTGGTTGTTTTTTAATTTCAATAGCCTCGCGAATCATCCTTGGGAGGAATCGGTATTCTTTTGTAAGGATCTGTGGTCTATAAAACCTGATCTAATGGTTGGGGTGATTTAAGATACCCTGTCATCTTACATGACAGTTTATGTAGGGTTCTTACCCATGGAACGCACCGGTGTATCTCGGTACTAAGCTTGAGCACGCCTCGGAGAAGGATAAACGATCTCAGATTCCCTCACCCTCTTGCAGCAGCACGAGACCAATTCGTGCTGCTGCCCATCCGTGTCCCCTTTTAGTCGCCTTTTACGACAGGTAGGGGATACCTTAGCCCTATTTTATGAGTCCGCTACTACAGGGCTAACGGAGCGGCGCATCCGTTTCTGCCGCCCCGGCGCCTTCGTCTCTGAGGGATCGGCCCTCTCCCGTTCCAACTCAGCAATCTCCTTCTGGAGCATGACGGCTTCGCAGAAGGAGTGTCGTCTAAGCAGATTTCTCCACCAGTGCAGTCGCCACTGCAGCTGGTGGAGAAAGGTCTTGCCCGATCTTTTGCACCAGGTTCCGCAGCTCTGACTCCCAAGCGGAGCACTCAGCAAGAGAGTTGCGCGGAGTCCCGGTCCCCACCACAATGGTGGCATTGCGTTGTCGGTTCGTGTCCAATTCTATTTAGGTACTCACCAAAGCATCCGTGCTCGGTGAGTACCTGCGTCAACCGAAAGGTGACGTTCGCGAATCCCCTCACACTAAGCCAGGCTTCGAAGCTCGGCAGGAACGCAGTGACGATTCGTTGGCGCGAGTTCCGAGCTTCTCCCAAGCGCTCGCGCCAAATCTCTAACCCCCGTGTACGCTCCTGCTCCCGCACCTCTCCCGCATCCAGGGGCTCGGCATCATCCTGGGGTAGCTGGAACCACAACGCTTCGGTCTTAAGGCACTATGCGAAGTCCCAGCTAATGGATTTTACCCACGACGCATGCCACTCCAGGCTCGCCGAGCTGACTGGAGTTCTCGAAGCTATCCCCTTCGGCAATTGCCAGGGTGTCATCTGAGTAACGCTTACACCGGCGGGGAGAACAATACGCAGGACTGCGTAGTAAGCGAGGTTCCAAAGTAATGGCCCCAGACGCGGTTCCATTACTTACCGATAATAATAATAATAATAGGCGTAGCGATGTGACGACCCCATCGCCCACCGGCGTAACAGTTCATGTGACAGAACTGTTGCGTCGGCGCAATCAGTCAGCGCCTTGCCAGTAGGTGTTTGCACCGTGCCTCGGCATAAATGAGGGTGCATAGGCCCGTTTGTGCGTTCGGCCACACTACTGAAAACGGTGCCGGTCTGGGGGCGTCTTCCGTTAAATGACGCCCTAAACTATAATGGATGATGGACTCCCAGAGAATACGCATAGGGCCGCTGCCTGGGGGCCGCCAGGGCACGTCTGGAGCTGGCGCTGGACGTGGCAGCATGCGGGACGCCAGCCGAGTGCGGGGTACTGCACGACCACCCAGCAGTACCTCGCATCCATCATCCCCACCAGTTGGCTTGGTGTCGGCAGGGTCCTCTCGGATCCAGCAATCGGCACCCGCCGCTGGTGGAATACGCCGCTTGCGCTGGACTGAAAAAATGAACAGGAACGCAATGCGGGCGTATCTTAGGGCGAAAGGGAGTAAAACTGGAGGGTTTGCGTATCGGGCAAGGATGCATCGCTTTTTTGCTGAGCTGGAGCCATCTATAACCGTCACCGAGCAAAACCTGGCAGACCAAGTTCGGTACATCATGCGCTCAAAAATATTTGATGATACCGAGCTCGAACGACTACGACGTGAGGCTGTTCCCTCATCGGATGAAAATGTATTGGCTGGGGATACGGCCCCGCAAGCTGCGGACCCTGCAGGGTTACAAGCAGATGCGGAGGCCGCGGTTAACTCCCCGGCTCCTGTAGATTCGTGCGATGATGGAATAGTCGCCCAAGAAATAGAGCAGATGGGAAGCATATTGGAGGAGGCAATTCTGGAGGTGCGCGAAACGCCTCTCGAGAGTCGACCACGTCTCCCCCGCATACCCCTAAGTAAGCGGAGTCGGTCTGTCGTGAGGTCTCTTAACCCGATGCTGGCAACCTATTTGGAAGCTAGCCGGGACCTTTGCGATACGGACTCAATTCTCTTTGGCGCTGCACTGGCAGTATGCCGAATCGTTGGCGCCAAACTTCCCAAGGCTGGACGTGCTACCAGACCAGGTAGCACTATCCCAGCATGGAGAAGAAGAATTGAGGACCGTATCGCAAAGGTAAGGGCCATCATCGGCAGGCTGATAAGCTTCAGGTCGGGCAATAATAGGCCCAGAATTGTGCGCACCGTTAGGATGGCGTTCGCTGGGACCAACATAAACTTGTCCCAGCCGGACATTACGCAAAAACTAACGGAGCGCATAGATGACCTGAAGCAGAGGATCGCTGCTTGGGGGAAGCGGATTCGGAAATATTCCGAGAGGACGGCGCGGTTTAGCCAGAATCGCCTCTTCCAGAGTGACCAAAAGAGGCTCTACAAATCTTTGGAGCGACCAGTGAGTTGTGGAACGGGCCAAGGACCGGACCAGGCAGACACTGTCGCCTTCTGGCGCAGCCTGTGGTCAGAGCCCGTAGACCACAGTGAGGGCCCTTGGACACAAGTCGTGGCGAGCCAATGTGCAGACATTACACCCATGGACCCCGTCGTCATAACATCCGACGACGTATCTGAGGCAGTCCGTAGAGCCCCGAACTGGAAAAGTCCGGGACTCGACGGGCTGCATCACTACTGGCTGAAGGGGTTCGTGGTGTGTCATGCTGTGCTCGCCCGACAGTTCCAAGAGGCTCTCGATCAGAGGTCGCTCCCGAGCCTCTTTACTACTGGGGTCACTCATTTGGTTCCTAAAGATCAGGTTACCACAGAGCCTAGTAAGTACCGCCCCATTACGTGTCTACCTACCATCTATAAGACACTGACATCTATTCTGAGTATGAGAATCACCCGGCATATTAATGTGAATCGGATTATGTCTCGTACTCAGAATGGATGTCGGGGCGGCGGTCGTGGAACCAAGGAACCGCTTCTCATCGACGCGGTCATTGGTAAAATGGTTAAAACGCAACCGTCGGAACCTCTCCGCCGCCTGGATAGACTACAAAAAGGCATTCGACTCGGTGCCCCATACATGGCTAAAGAGGGTCCTCGAACTGTACAAAGTAGACTGTACAGTAAGAGACTTCCTCGGGCACTGTATGGGGCAATGGAGTACGATCCTTTGTCATCTAGGCGAACGGATGACGGCTGCGGAATACCGGATAAGGATACGACGGGGTATTTTCCAGGGCGACTGTTTGAGTCCAATATGGTTTTGCCTCTCCCTGAATCCTCTCAGCGTATTACTGGAGGGCTCGGGGGGAGGATTTCAGCTTCGGAGAGGAGGGACAAAAGTGACCCATCTTTTCTACATGGATGACCTCAAGTTATTCGCCTCCAATCGCTCCCATTTGATGGAATTGCTTAAAGTCACTTGTGATTTCAGCAATTCTATCAAAATGGACCTCGGGACGGATAAGTGTGCGGTCCTTCATGTCGAAAGGGGTAAGGTCACTAATACGGCGGGCATAGACTTATCTATGCCCGTTAACATAAGGACCCTCCCTGAGGCTGAAACATACCGATACCTGGGTATGTCACAAAACATGTGTATCGATGAGGCTGGCATGAAACAGTCAGTTCGTGATATGTTTTTTGCACGCCTGACAAAGGTGTTTAACAGCCATTTGTCAGGCGTGAACAAGGCACGCGCATTTAACGGCTGGGTCATGCCAGTCCTCATGTATACCTTTGGCATACTCAGGTGGACT